TCACCTCCTGTGGTAAGAGTAGAGGGTTTCCTATTGGCCCAGATAAGGAGTATGGCGCCAGACAAGCAGGCAGTAATTGGTTCTGAACGGTGAAGTCGGGAGGACGGCCGTTGTGAATAACGTTTGGGTCTTTGAAAAATTTAGGCTTCTAGGATGGCATTACCAGCTGACCTAGATAAGGGGGCATCTAGGTCGTGCAACAAGGGACGTGTTTCGCGGTATGGATAGAGATTGGCTGGTCGGTCCATATAAGCGACATGGCGCCCGGGAATGGTGAGATAGCAGGGTCACCGCTCAAGCCACAATTACGAAAGGAAATATCGCAATGTGACGAATGTGACAAAAACGAACTGGACAATGGCACGGGAATAACCAGGAAGGAGAAAAGGGAGGCGGTCGAGGTGGGACGGAGGGGTGATAAGGAAAGCGGTCAAGAAGAGGCAATGGATACATATTGACTATAGTTCAAACAAAGAGGAAGAGTGCAGAGGCGCGATTTGTGTTTGAGGAGGTCGTCTTCTTGCACATGGATCAAAAATGTGATCTCTTGCTGCGTGCTCCTTGCACTTGAGGGGACCCGCTTGGTGCGCAAGTAATGATGAATGATGGGTGGAGAATGATTAAAGGATGAGGAAGGAAATGAGGCAAGGGGTTATATTGTTGTGATGGACAGAAAGGATTGGATCTCAACGATAAGAGGGGCCATGTCCAGATGCCAGAGTAGAGTTGCCAGTAGAAGTAGACGATATGATAGAGACTTTCCTGTCCGATTTTAGAGTTAACTATAGATGGTACTGCATAGGAATCGAACTCACCAGTTCCAGTGAGCGACAACATAAAAAATGTCTACCATGCATCGCTTGCCTTTGAAGGGTGCCCTTTTACAGAGTCCAGCAACCTAGGAGACAAGAACCTAGTTGAAGGAGAAATGAAATAAAAGGTATAACAACGGAGCGGGCACTCTGTCGGTTGAAGGAGTGGAACGATCCTCAACATTGGAAAGGGCAAGGCAGGTGCGTAGCATGTGGCTCAGGAGAAGCAAACCGTCGACGATGCGTGGACGTGAATGCAATTAAGGGGATAACAAGTGTAGAGGTAGTAGCGAGGTTACAGAGAAGAAGGCGTCGTATTCAACACGGAGCACTACCTGCCACCAAGGCCCGATCCAATAAATCAGTGTCCGTCAAGGTAAGGATATGCAAACATGTATCATATAGAGCATTATTATGAATAGAAGTTACAAGGTGAGATACTAGAAAAGGGGTGATTACCAAACAGCCTGGTACGTCTCCTTATCCATGAATGAATTGAGGTAGAACCGTGGCCAAATGTCCGAGCTTGTTTGCGCCGTAAGTTGAGGGTTCATGCGTCGTCCAAACGATGGAACAAGCTGCACCAGCCTGCAGACTGAACTGAGAGGCACAATCGCTCCAACGCGACATTTATTTTGATCATACTTGTACTCAATTTTGTACATATTGAGATCTGCTTGGGTACTGGCTGGTATCTTCGTGAAGCAATAGTAGTAAACCAAAGGTGTGTCGTGCAGTGGGTGTGATGAAGGCAGCCTTGGTTGGAAAATAAGCCGGACTTGGCCTACAGAATACCCTAGTAAGTTCGTTTTAGTAACTATGCTATCTGAATACTATTATCTGCACCTTTTACACCAGTATCCTCTGCATTCGGATCATCCTTGATCAGTACACAGTTACAGAGCCCATGGCGATTCTTTTGTACAGGAGGGGGGATTGCTTGGACAGTTCGCGTGTCTGCAAGCTCATCTTCATCTTGTACAGTTGGTCGTTGAATGCGAAACCGGAACCATACATCACAATGTAGCGTGGCCAAGTCCACCGGGAAGTCTCTAGTGCTGTACTGGTCGAGAAGTTGCGTCAACGCTATGCGATGACCATGGAGCCCATAAAATTGCGCAATGCTGTCGTAGAGAATATTTTGCTGATCAGGCTTGACAGTAAGCCATACATGGGCGTTTCTTGCTCTAGATTGCCGACGAATTTCGAGTTGTTCCTGCCGCTTCGCAGCAGCAGCCATCCGTTCAACAAAACTGTTAGACAGACTTCCGGCCACACCATGGATGGCCAATTCCCTCACTCCACTCCCTGCAGCCCAGTTACTAAGGTCCTCCATGAGGGAAAAGATTGCGTCGCGGTTCAAGTAGGCGCACATCTGAACAAAGAAGTCTTTGCGATTCGTCGCCCTATAAGCCATTTTGGCCATGGTCTGGTGACAGTTTTCAGTTATTTCGGTAGAGAATTGAACGGCTGTGCCCATACGTGGTATATGATATAAGTACGCATGGAGACCTGCCAATTTTGGAATGGAAAAATGTCGAATGACGCCATTCTTTCCACGGCGGGCTTGGTTTTTGATAAATACGTTCTTGAGGGAATGGAACACCTTGAGTGCCTGTTCCAAATAGCCCAATGTAGTCGTCGAGTGGCTGCGATACTGGGCAAGATAAAGAAAGTCGTGAAACGCTCGAAGACAACGGAGACATTGTGAATCAATGCCTGGAGCGTCTGCAACAGCAGCAAGGAGCACGCGCTGTAATTCGCGATCTTCACGACCTGACCACTGAGCGAGGTGG